AATGAAAGACTGTAATTTGCTTACAAAAACTTTAAACCTTCCACGAATAGAATTCTAAATAAATAACTTTTTTAATCATTTAAATAATAGATTGAATCATATAACGTTATGAACAAAGTTTACAATCGATTGTTAACGAATAAATATTAAATTGAGAAAATTCCTGGTGCTGATTACAAATCTAAAAATTTATATTTACATTACATGTTAAATCAGCCAATTGTATTATTTAAAAAAATTCACTATACAAATCTACTATGGGTCTACAAATAGGTTTGAATTAATTAGCCGACCAAACACCCCCAACATTGACGGCTACTGCCTATATTATCGTGATTTTCATATTCTGATAGTTCATTCCATTTCTTCCCTGCAATTTTTGAAAAATGACGACCGTCTATATTTGAATTATCTTCAATATTTCTTTAATTATATTTTTTCGAAATTAAAAAAAAGGTTAAAAATCAATGCTAGAACACGTATTCTTAATTCTGGAAATTCCTTAATAGTTTTTGATTTTTTGTTGCATCTTTATGAATAAGAATCTGAGAGTACCCTTTGGGATAAAAACTGTTAATCCATCCATTATTCATTTGGGAAAATACCAGAATCTTCAATGAAATTATTAGAATTCATTTTATGTACATTTGAATAAATTAAATTAATTACATTGTTTTGATTTATAAAATATAATTAATAATTTTGTCCAATTGTTTTTGTTTTCAATTTATATAAGTTTTTTTAATATTTCAGCGATGAGATATGATAATTTTATCTTTACAATCAAATAGCATTTCATTTATTATTTTCAATGCTAATTTATACTTTCCATGTGTTTATAATCTTAAACAACTACAATAACAAATTCAATATCAAAACCTTGGAAACAACAAATTAAAGACCTACAAAAACAAATTCAGGAACTAAAGAATTTAAAGAAAAAGCAACACAAGACATTATAAGATTAAACGAGTGCTTTCACCAAGTATACTATTACCATCCAGGATACTGTCCAAACCAATACTAAGCCCCAATAGGGTATTGACTCTGACGAAGAATAAACATATTTCTTGAAGAACTCAAAAATAAAAGAGAAAGAAAACCTAATGAAAAAAACAAAAAGCGCCTCTAAAAAGATGAGAAGTGAAGAAAATTCAGCATCCGGTCATAGAATTATAAATATAATTCTAAATGACCTAAAAGAGAAAATACCAAAAAACATCTATAACTCAACCCAAAATATATTTGTCCAAATCTTTAGAGTAAATGACTTAACAAACGTGAGCAGATTAATAACAAATCTAATTGAACAACTTGATGAATCCATGAAATAATTAATTATATTAATTGGATAACCATAGAATTCTTATTCAAAGCACTAACTAAAGAAGAGATACTTTATCTTCTTTCAACATTAAACGAATATTAATGTCAAACCTTCAAAAATTATTTAACAATAACGGAGACTTTTTCACTTTTTCAAAGAAATTACTGCTTACGAATTAACTATTATCAAAAGCCTATTATATAACTATTATAGAAGTTACATTTTGCTTTTTTTGTTCTGCCCATGTTTTTATACATTAATTATTTTTAGTTATCATTAGTATCAATCAAATTCATCTTAGCAATCAAATTCGGACAGTAATATCTCGCGATCCAGTGATCCAAATCACGCTATTCGACTCGACTTAACAAGACGAGTCGAATGGTACAAAAATCATGTGATTCGGATCACTAGATCGCGAGATATCACTGTCCGAATTTGATTGCTAAGATGTCCGAATTTGATTGATACTATATTTCTTTATAATTTTGATCACTTTTTTAATTTACATACATCAACCTTTCACAAAATATGATTCATGTAATTGTAGTAGAGATGATTTTTTCATGGAAGAATTGAAAAATTTGTATAAAGAAATCGATCTTTTATCAAGATATAATATTGAGAAACTTGAAATAATCAATTCAATTTACGAATCATTTTCCATCGAACACAGAGAAGATATCAGAAAGGCTATCATCACCACAAACATTCGTCTACTTAATAAAAATGAAAGTTATTTAGCCGAATATGAACCGTATCACACATTTGCAATGCATATAAGAAAAAAAACACAAACCCAACGATATATTGGAATATATTTGTGACTGCTCAATTACTATAAACCATGTAAAAAATCTTTTGAATATTTACAAACGGAGGGTAAACATCGAAAAAAATCGATGGGATAAGTTAAAACTATTAAAAAAGAGATATAATAGCATTTCAGAGAATAAGCGGTATTTACTGGAAAGATCCATCACAAAAAATGTTGTCAATCTTTTAGAATACCGGCCAAAGTTATTTATCACCGATCTATTTGTTGATAAGATCATTTATTATTTTAATTATCTTAAATAAGGATAGTAAGCAGGTTTAATTTGCAAAGATCCTGGATAATACTAATTATTAAACAAGACAAGAAATTTAAATTTTTGACAGAGGCTATATTGTTAAAAAAGGCTTTTAAATAGAATCATACAGTATATACATAGTGCCCGGCACGCAGGCACTATGTTTTTCGGCACCATGCCCAGCACTTGCAGAACCCTACTCAAGAACAATACAAGTTTGTTAGTTTTGTTTAGAGTGTCCAGAATTCTGCGGTGCATAATTCTGCTTGCTCTAAAGATATTTTTAGAGCGAGCAGAATTATGTGCCGCAGAATTCTGGACACTCTAGTTTTGTTCATACATAACGATATTTAAATTAAAATTTACATTTTGATTTAATAAATATTACTTATATTTTATTGATATATCTATTCATGAACTAAAGAACAATACAAGTTTTTTAGTTCTGTTTATACATAACGATATTTAAATTAAAATTTGCTTTTTGTTTTAATGAGTTTCTTAATTGTAATTAAACACTCTTGCACAATATGATTTAAATATGAATTATTTAAATTAGTTGTTACTTATTATTAAAAACGTCCAATAAGATCAACTTGTAAATATTTTTGTTTGTAGAGATGTGATCCATTAACCCGTATTTATGAATCAGATCAATCTCGCATTTATACATGTTAGTTTATTTAACACTTATTAACTTTTTTAAATTGCTCAATATTTCGCTTAATCTTTCTATGAATATTATTGTGTTCATTGATTTTTTTCTTTGCAATCACTGATTTTCATATTTTGCAATTAGTTGCCAAATTTCTATATCATTTATGTCATGTTAAGGCGATTTACTTCTTCATTAAATTAATTATTTTCCTTTGAATCTTTTATTTTGTTATTTGCAATTTTTATGAAACGTTTTTGTAATGGCTTTGTTTTTTCCCCCCTGTTATCTTTTCGAATTTGTTCAATTAATTTAAAGGATTGTTCATAATTATTTGGATATGACATTGCTTTTGTTAAAAATGGTTAAAAACAATTTTAAGAGTTATTTATATTTAACTTGAGGTGGATGTATTTGTATTATTTAAATTAATGAATTAACAAATTAATTTAACAATTTTATTTTTGTGCATTATTTGTTAATCGTAAATTAAATTGTTTAGTTAATAGGTGATAAATAAATAATAGTTCTGATCTATTAAATATTTCTAATGCCAATTCATAGTTTTCTTCATTATAATAATTAATCGCACATTCATATAGCGTTTGATCAGACTATTTGACTATAAACTTCATTGCGAAAATGAGAATTTTCAAGGCTAAAGAATTCTTTGATAGGAATTCCATTAAGTTGTGTTGTAAGTATTGTTAAGCATTTTTTATTATTACTATATCAAATTTATCAATAGTTTAAATTTACCGGGAAATTTTTATCTAGTCTTTAAATAAAATTATATTCCAATTAATTTTAAAACCCTTAGATTAATTTAGAATTCTGCCCAAGAAGGTATTCTAAGGTTATTACACATAAATATGAAATTCACAATGATGTTACCAAAACAAAGAAATGAAGTTTATGCGTCACTATTTGGTCTTTTGATCGATAGTTATTTTTAGCTAATAGCTATTGTAATAAGTATATACTCAAGCTAGTTATTCTATTTTTCACAATTTACGAATTTGTCAAAGAAAAATTCAATCTAAATTTTTGCGAAAATTTCTACTTAGAAAAATTAAAGCTCATAGACTCTTCAAATTCAAATTGATTACCAAAAAACTGAAATGAAGCAAAGGTTGTGTTCACATGAAAGCATTCTAATAAATTTTTTCCTACAAAAAGCCCAATGTCATTAAATGAAATATTTAAAACAATCAAACTATTATTTTTGCAAAGGTATCGGCTAATGCTATTCCACTCATAGGTCCGAGTTGGATATTGAACAGATTTAAAGTAGTTAACATTTTTTTTCACAAAGAGCTTTTTCCTCTAGCAGATACATAACTGGTAGATCCTCGATTTTGATTAGCTAACGGCCCACATTACAAATTGTTTACTAATTTCAGGCCGGAATTAAATTTTTAATTTTTCACGATGAAAATAGAAATTTTTAAAAACCAAGTTTACTTATGATTTAAATACAATTTCGGGCAAAATTAGGCATAACTTAAGGCATAATTAAAAAATATTTTTCAAACAAAATTAAATATAATTCCGGGCAAACTCAAAATTTGTTTTTAAGCAAAATTAAGTGTAATTCCGGGCATAACTTAAGGCAAAATCAAAACATATTTTTCAAGCAAAATTAAGTATAATTCCGGGCATAGCTCCAGACAAAATCAAATTTTATTTTCAAGTAAAATTAAGTGTAAAGCATTTCTGAATTAGCCCGATCAGAAAATCCTGAAGAGTGGTTTTCCTAGCAAATATATTGTTAAAGGCCCCTAAAGCTAATTTATTACTGAAATTACAAAAAATGCTGATCATAATTTTTAGGAAACTCAATTTGTTCTCCGACGGCCCTTGATGCCATAGGAGAATAAACTTAAATGGTGGTTTAAAAATTGAAATACAGATTATTCAAGTTATCCGACAGGTGCTATGTAAATATTGGCGGAAAAAATTTTTACATTATTCTGTCGATATGTGCCACGCTGTGGCTCAAGGCACTCAATTCAAAAATTCAAATGTGTGCCTTGGTTGTTATTTGTGTCTCATTTAGGAAATTTCTGTGAAAAATAAACCTGAATCACGTTTATTAAAATCTAAGTTCGTTCATACAACGCTAAGTTTATAAATTATAGTAATGCAAATTTAAATCTGCACATATCGATATACAAATAAAATTTTTTACAAGTTATAGATATCGTTATGTCTACATAATAACAAAGTAAAATAGATCTGGCGCCTGTGTTTTAGCATGATATAATAACAGTAATGGAGACATCTTCACGACAAAATACGACTACGCAGTACATAAAATATAGTTATTGAAAGTTTTTCTGATTGTTTAGTAAATACGTGATAAAGAATCTAAATTTAGTATGGATAATTTATTTTCAAAGATTTATTAAGATAACAATTAAATATAGTATTCGATGTAGGTAACCATAGGATGATTTTGTTATTTATTGCTTTGGGAAGTTAATCATTTCGTAAACAAATTCATGTACAGTATGTTGATGAAAAATTACCCTTATCCAAGACTAAATAGTTTAACATAAATTATACTCTAAAACTAACATTTAACTATTAATTTGTTGCTTTTTTTTTTTTTTTTGTGTCCGTTTTCAATTCATATTTTTAGCAGAAACATTTAAAATTCAAATGAAAAAAGACTACAAATGTTTTTTATTAGATCAATTAAAGATCAATCAATTTTTCTATTTACAATATTTTATCTTAATGCTTTTAATTGTAAAATACTAGGTTAGTTATGGGAATTTAGAATTAAATGTAAAAAGCAAATAAAATACATGTACGCTTGTTATGTGGAAATAGCAATTCCCTAAATAATTAATACATTGAAGATTCACTGGATTTTATTAATTAATTTATATTCTGTGAATAAATGTTCACATCTCTAGGTGTGATTGAAATATGTATAGTATATAAAAATAGACAAGTCACCGAAATAAAATTTTTTGGGCACAATCTTATGCAATCCCATTGCAGATTTAGTCAAAAATTTTTGTTTTCTAGAATTTTTACTTAATTTTCTTTGGTTTCCCGCTGTAAAGTTCTTCAGCTTTTGAAACATCTTTTTTAACACCGATTCCTTGAGAGTAGCACATTATTAAATGGTCTCTGGCTTTTTCTTTGAATTTTGAATTACTGTCAAAAACTTCTTCATAATAATTAAAAGCTTGATTTTTTTCATTACTTCCAAAACCTAAACCTTTTTCATATATAAGTGCTAACCAAAATTTTGCTTCAATTGCCAAATTTTCTTGCTTGCAATGATCAATAACGCTAGTTAAAGAGCAAATAAAGGCCGAATAATTATTTTTATTGAGCTCTGCTATAGCTAATTTAAGGAGATGTCGGTATGAATCTTCGGATTCCTTGTTATTAGTATTTAATTTCTTTTTTTTTTCTTTCGACATGAATAAAAGATAAATTGATTGTTAATAAAGAAAACTTTGATATTACTTTTTTTAAGTATGAATTTTGAGATATATATATTTTTGCTTTCAATTAAATTAATTGTATTATTGAATTTCAATTAAGAATGCTTAAGGAAAATTTGTTAATATTAAAAACTTTAAATTTAGAAACGCAATAGAATTAATTGATTCCGAATAATTTGAAAATTTTTTCTCAAATTAGTTTTAAGAAAGTTGTTCAATTGATTTATCAAATAAAGTATAGCATTTAGAGAAAATAATTTAATAATAATTAAAATATTTCCGGATTAATTTTTCAATTAAAATAATAAATTTACTATTATTATTAGCACTATTAGCTATAGGTAAGGAAATTCCTTAAATGCTTTTTGGATTTTTGAAAATATTTTCTATTGGCTCATCACCACATTATTGGTTTTGGGTTGCCTTCGATTTGAATATCGAAATCTGTCCTGTTATATATTTATTTATTTAGTAATAAAATATATTTATTTTATTCACAATTTTTTTTAAAATCCTCACTTGTGAAGGCCCCATATTTAAAGATGAATTTTGAGAATCTGTTTCCCAATTATCATTAGAGCCTTCAGTCTACATGGTTGATTTCTTTTTAATTTAATAATATTAATATCTTTATAAATATAATAAAAAGTTATTACATGAATAATATTAATATCCGACGTAGAGTTATTCACTAAATATAAATTAATTAATAAAATCCAGTGAATATTCAATAGATTTATTAATAAATTTATATTCAGTGAATAACGGGGGTCATATCTCTATTGAGAATCATCTATTTCATTATTTTTATAAATAAAAAAATAATAATTTATATGTAACATTTCCTATATGGGACCCCGCACAGCAAAACGGTGTACAGTAATGGGACAATCACATGATCGTGAGAAAATCACGATTTAATTTGGTCATGTGATTTACATTACATTTTTCAAAAAACGGCATTTATAATCTAAAAAATTTTTCTAACAAGCAATTTTTTTTTAAATATAATTTTTTTTTTATATATTTATATTATTTATAACATGTAAAAACCTAAAAATTCAAAGTTTTATTTAATAATTGGTCTTTATATTTACATACCGTTTATGATCACTAATGCTTATCGTTATAATTATTATCCCACTTCTCTTCAGTATTTCTAAGATTTCGCCTTATTATATTCCATGCTAATTATTTTATTTAATACATACATTACATTTTTTTATAAAAAAATCTTGAAATTAGGTATTTATTCTTTTCTATATTTATTTTAAACTAAATTCAGCAAGTGCCGGGCGCAGTATTATTAAACACAGTGCTTTACGCTTATACTTAAATTCATCATATTTAATGGTATTTGACTAATACGTGTAGAACTCTAATACTAAGCTTGATATAAACTGTGCACATATAAAACATATAAAGCATAAACTAAAGTTTGCTTTTGTTAGGTTCAGTATCAGTATCGATATTGATTTACACAACCAATAAAAATAGATTTTTTAACTTACTTTATTCTGAACGTTCTGGTCTGGGGCAAGTAATATCACGAAAAGGCAAGTCTACATAAGGTGCAATTTCTTTATGTAGTTCTTCTTGCCTCTTTAAAGGAAGTGGCCTGACATTAATCGTAGGGGGTAAGGTATTTGCATTAAAAGAAAAAGAACGGATTGTAAAATTTTTGTATTCATCGTCAAGATCATCTTTGTAAAAAACAATTCCGGGATTTTGTGAAGTAAAATAAAAGTGATGATATTTTTGAATATTTGGAAGTTTTTTAAATGCTTCAAAATAAATTTTAAAATTATAATATTGAAATCCTTCTCCATCTAAGTAACGTTGAGCAACATTAAAGTTAATTGAAGTAGAACGATTAATAATTGAAACTACATCATCGACAGTATTTACTTTACTTTTTCGGTAAAGAACCTTAATTAAACCAAAGCAACCATCGCAGATAAATTTTGTATGTCCAGGTATCATAAAATTTAGCTCGACTTCATCATACATATTATGATCAAATAAAAAAATAATGAATAATTATTCTTATTCTGGCCCGTACAATTATCACATGTAATGATTAATTTGCTTTCTCAACGATTATATTTTTTAATTGCATGCCAAACTAAGCTTAAAGTACTATTTACACCTTTGCCTTGCTTACCGTCATCGGGCATTTCAGCTTCATCAATTACGTAGTTGGTTTGTTGTGTATGCGGAAAGTTACCAGTATTACATACTCCAAATAAATGTACTTTACAAGGACTTTTAAAAAACAAAGAGCCTATTTGTTGCGGTGAGTATGGTATTTGTACATTCTGGGCCCAATCATATGCAATATGCGCAGTTCCATTAAAGGTTTTGAAAGATTCTTGAGAACCAATTATGTTTTGATTACGTTTGCCATCTTCAACTGCATTCTTAATATTAATATTGTAATAACATAGTTTTTATTAAAATATATTGTACACACCTTATTTTGTAATTCAATTCATAAATTAGATAATGTAAATCTTTCAAAGCTAATAAAAAACGGCTATGCACACAATTTAGAAATTCAAAAAAAAAAAAAAAACTATAAAACTGCATTTAAACTTGCACTTACAACACACGAAATGCTACTGATCCGAAATTAATCCTAACTGTAAGTATTGTAAAACCTGATAATAATTGTAACTAGGCAATAATGTATCTAACCTTTATTTAGATTCCTCCTAAAAGAAAGGTAGAGTTTTTAAATCCTCGTTTTCTCTTATAGGTTCGTATTTAAGCCGCCAGGCTAAACTAATTCAAATACAGTCTTTTTATTTTGGTTTAAAATTAAAACAATGCAATTTAGTACTGCTATAATGCTAGTCAACTTTTTATAATTCAGGTCAGATACACTGAATTAATACATCATTCCAGTAATCGTGTGATTTGATCGCACATGATATGATTGTCGCTTCTAACGCTAATTCATTTTTTTCCCACAGATAATTAAAAATTTTTTTTGCAAGCCAAAATGGAATGCTAGCATGTTTTTAAATGAGAACCATGAGAATTATCATTATGTAAGTATTATATGAAACTTTGTAAAATTTATTCGGTTAAACAAATCTCAAACAATTTCAATAAATATGAGATCTACTGATACGTATCAAGTTGAAGTCGATGAAAGGAAGGGCCCTGATCCTTTTGTTACTTTGTCCTCTACATCAAAAGGAAATGACCTTGAATTTATAGCTTTCAGAATTCTTAAAAGGACTATGAAGATTGATTGTCAAGGAGTAAGGTAAGATAATAATCTTATTAAATAGTTGTTTTAGTCATTATGCATCTGAAGTTACGCTGCCACTAGGATTATATAATAAGCAGAGAACTGGAAGCGCATCGTGGCCTCAGGTAGTTATTTTGGCTGGAATAACCAGATCTGTGAACGTCCTTCTCTGATTTATATATAATCCGAAAAGCTACTGTGTATTTCACTTACACGACGCCATTGATTGACTTCTGGGGCTGTGGTGAATAGGATACATGGATAAATGTTTTGATTTCAGTCACTCAGAATCTTTATATCCTTGATGATTATGATAACATCTATTTACCTTTTTTTTGTTTTAATATAGATTGTCAGGTCCTGACGGTGATGGGGGAATAGATATCTTTGGAAACTTTGAAGGGTATTTGATTTTAATTCAATGTAAAAACTATATAGATGCAAAGGTAAGCATCGATGAAATTAGAGCATTTGAAGGAATGATGTCAAAATATCCTAAAAACACCACAATAGGAATTTACGTGACATTTGTTACGGATGGATACTCAAGATTTGCAATTGAAAGAGCAGAATCATCTAAATTAAATCTTTTATTAACAAATGTGTCTAATATGCGTCAAGATATTTTGAATTACATGTCTAAAAAGTTAGATAAGGATTCTGAAGAAGAAAATCATATAATTGAAGAAATAATTTTTAAGGCCGAAGAAGAAATTCGTGCAATGAACGAGGATCATAAAAGAAGAATAGCAGATTTAGAAAAAAAAGTTGACGTAATAATTGAAAATCAAAAAAAAAATTGTAAGAAAGATTGAAATAAATCAATCCAGAATAATGGGTAATCAAAATATAACAAAAAATAATCAAAGTAAAATTTTAATTTTATTAATTGTAATAATTATATTATTATTAATAAATTTGATTAAATAAATAAATAGGTAGTATTTGAAAATTTTATTGTAAATATACAATATAAAATTTATAAATTTACAGATTTGAATTATGTCAAGGAAATAAATCGCCAAACTCACAAATTCGGTCGAAATGGGTTGGTTTAAAATTACCAAGTACTCACTTGTACTTGTAGCTTGGTGAGATATTAAAAAATTCAGACGCTTTACAGTTTAGCAAAATATGAAAATAATAACTTATCAGTGATTGCAAAGAAAAAAATCAATAGACACAATAATATTCGTAGAAATATTAAGCAAAAAATTAAGCAATTTAAAAAAGTTGATAAGTGTTAAATAAAAGCCAACATATATAAATGTGAGATTGATCGTATTCATAAATACGGGTTTGAATATTATAATACCAGAAATTCGTTTACCATTATAAATAATTTCAGCAATATTCGTCTTATAATGATCAAATTTTCTGGCTGATACAGTGGATCATAAGTAACACCATAAAGTAAAATATTTTCATTTATGTGCGCGTATGAACAAATATCTTTGATTGTAAACTTTATTCATGACGTCTCATGATTTAATCTATTATTTAAATGATTACGAAAGTTATTTATTTAGAATTCTATTCATGGAAGGTTTAAAGTTTTTGTAAGCAAATTACAGTCTTTCGTC